TTGAGCCGATAGTAGACATACATTTGCAATTCTACATAGAGACTTCTACAATAGTTTTTTGTTCAAATAATGCTTGGTGATTACTAATGAGAACTGTCTTCAATGAACGATGACAATAACAACGTTTCACGATCATGAAAGATTAGTTTTCTTTTTCATCGTACGTCTCATGTTTTTAGGGAATCAATGATAATAAATGCTCTACGGTCGTTTTTCATTATCACAGAAGATGATCTATATTTTCGGACTGCTTAAGAAATAGAGAACATACACTGCTTTTAAAATGTTAGTTATTATATCGTATAAAATACTTACCACCACATCATAATGCCAAGTCATTGAAATACCTCGTTTACCATGTCTGTCAAACAATGTCAATTGCTTATTTTCATATTCTTGTGCAAGTAAATATTCATCTGAGGCACCTATTGCCCAGTAATTGCCCAACGAGCTTTCTGCTAGAGGTTTCTCGATGAGCCGTTTGCCTAATATTGTCTTTCGCATATCGGGATCGCAAATGGATGACACTTCCCTCCATGAATCTGCCGAAAAGCTTTCTTTCATTGGATTTGTCGTTTCAATTTCTAATATTCGTCTTCGATCAGAATGCTGAACGAAATGAATATTTTCCAATGAATGGCCATACTCATTTTGTAATTTTTCTAATCGAATTAATTGAGCATCTCGATTTGTTGATCTGCTATCTACTAGTATAGTCGATGAATCTTCCTCGAAATTAGATCGATAATTTTTTATACGGTTTTCGAGTGTTCTTCTTGCATCGTCGGCTGATTGACGAATATCTTCAATTGCTTGGAGTTCCCAGCTGTTGATATTTGAACGAAGTTTGTTTTCAATGTGTTCGAATTCAACCAAACATTTGGATAAAGGTTGTCGATGATTACACGCATCATTCACGTATTTCTCATAGGTTTGACGATGTTCATAAAAATGATCCCAACAAAAATGGCGATTACAGGCGACACAGATAGCCACGGATGGCATATCACAAGGTAAATGGCAGGACACGCTACCAGCTCGCTCTCTCGCCATCAATCAATTATACGAAGATAAATTTGAGACAAATTAACTATTGCAGTGTAAAAACAAAACCGTAGAATAATAAATCTTGGAAGGGTTTGTGAAAGTGCAACGTATAAAAATCTCTTTTTCATCGTTAATGAAATATTCGTAAACCGGTTAAAAATCCTTTTGAAAAGGTAATATGAAAAGGTTTATAACCTTCGAATCCACTCGTGAAAGGTTTATGAAAGAATTTATAATACTCATAAACCCTTCGCGTAAGGGCATATGAACTTTCTCATTGTTTTCAAATTATCTTAAAACCAATTATCAAAAGAATATTTGAAAGGTTTCATAAAGATTATGATACGTACCAAGGGTTTATGAAAGGATATACAAAGCTCTATAAAGAAGCGTTCTAGACGATCACTCACCTAAAGAGGACTTTTGAGGTGGTAAACAGAAGCCTTTATCTTATGAACTACACAACGTTTAGAAGAGAGTTATTGAAACGATTTTTAAATTATCAGAACGGTTGAAAATTCCATAGCACTCAACCTTTATTCAGACGTAGTAATACAACGAAACAGAATCTGTTGATTTTACGCGTACCACAGCATGTTGAAAAACATATAAAAACACCTGAATGAAAGAAAAGACGAAAAAACTATCAGTAGAAATCAATTAAGATGAAGAAAATAAGAGTAAAATAAGTTAATCGATTCTTCTCTGAAGATGATGGAAAACTATCATGATATCTAAACGAAGGAAAATAAAAGTAAAGTAACTTCTATTAACATATTTTCGTCCATAAAAAATGAATTAACTATTTAGAAAGTAAATGACGGAAATCAAATATGCGTAAACAAACTTATTTCATTTTCCCAATCAAATACTCATCAACTATGAGTAAAACTATATAGAAAATAAAAAAGCAAACAGAACTGTGCTAGTTGATTTCTTTCATAGGGCCGTAAACAGCAATGGCTATAACTAAAGAAAAATTAAACTAAACTAACTTATTCGATTTTTCTCAATAAGATGCTAGACAGTGGTCGGAAGAAGTAAATTGCAAGAAAAGTGAAGTTATTTTTCTGATTCTATTTCTCTCATAAAGTGAGCGGCAACGATTAAGAAAACTAAATACAGAAAGAGAAATTGAAAGTAAAGGAACCTATCCGATTATTCTCGTAAAATGGCCGACAGTTACTGGGATAACTACTGTGAAGGCAAGAAAAGGAAATATATTTTTCTGACTCTCTTTCTCTTACAAAGTGCATGCCAACAATCGGAAAAACTAAACGAAGAAAGAGGAAATGAAAGTAAACTTACTTTCTCAATTTCTTTTGTAAAATGCAGGAAAAATATTGGCATAAGTATTAGAGAAAAAGAAAACTAAAGTAACTTACTGGTTGTGTTGCATAGAATACGCGGAAATTGTCAAGATAGCTATATGAAGAAAAAGAAAAGTTAACTAAGGTAACTTACCTAATTTCTCGCATACTATTATTAAAAGCTATGGGGGGATACATAAATGAAGAAGGAAAAAATCAAACTACATAATTTTATTCGGTTTCTGTGATGAGATGTTGAAGAGCCATAGACGGTTCAGGAATCACATTATGAAGGAGGGCATAGAGGAATATCTGATATATTGCGTTTGATCACTGAGGAAAACGTAGAGTGTAAGGTGAGAGGTCAAATTATTAACGCTATTCCATAACCACTTGGAACAAGTTGATGATCATTTTAGGCAATACATCTAATTCATCAGCTAGATGAGCTTGCATTTGATTGAAATATACGTGGTTTTCTGAAGGACTTCAGTAATACGAGGTGGTTGTCTTATATATGAATTAAGCCGAATTGCAACTCTACTTTTTTTTTCTAATTCTAATCATATTTTTTTAGATAATCCATATTGCAAAAGTCAGTTCGCTTCGTACGACAAAAGGAAGAGTGCGAAATTATCAATAGCAAGCAATGCTTTTTTTTTCTCTACTTGATGTAATTTTATTCAAGAGAGTGAAAAGTATATTGAATCACAAAACACGAAATTGTAGCAGTTGTATTTTTGCTGTGTAATTTGATGGAGTTTTTAAAATTTCAAATAAATCTGTCAACAATCACAGGTATGCACTCTAGGGATCTCATGCATTAAGCTGGTTCGCCATAGCAAATCAGAAACAATTGTACTATCTGGGTATTTTTCGCGAAATTCAATTATTTTATGCAAAACAAATTGAAAAAGAGTATGCTCAGTATCGTGTGAAAAGTAAAGTAATCTACCTCTATGCGTACAATAATGTACCCCTATGCGAAGAAGAATAAATCCTTGAATATGCATCTGATATCCTTCTTATTTTCATATATCCTTAATGTTATAAATTCTTCGGCTCATAAACCTTTGAAAAGTATATGATATCGACATAAACTCTTCAACAGTTTGTGAAAATAGTTTCGAGAGAACATTTTACCTACAAGCCAATTTTCGATATGAACATATTTTGCGGCTCCAATTTCAGTTTCAAATTCGTGCGTTCAAAACATGTTTTTCATTCAATTCTTCTCTTCATCACTAAAGAAATGACTATTACAAATGGCATGATTGAACCAGAAAAACAATTCGCTTCGATTCTCGTTGCTTTCGACACGAAGGTGTTCGACGTTGATTTTAAAATAATGCATTTCTTTCACGATAGTGCAGGACGTAAGTAACAGTATCGCCTGAAACTTTACTTGCTTTCTCTCACTCCTTCCATATTTAACTGTCATTGCTTTCAACCGAGAAAGATCGATTGCAGATCAACTTGAAGGCGTTGCCGTTTGATTTCTGCCGAGTAAAAAACATTTTGGGAAGTGATTCTGTTTCAACGAATCGAATAATCATGTGGTTTTGGAGCTCATCGTTTTTTTAAATAAAATCTGCTCGACTCAGTGATGCATTTTTGACTGTTACTGAAAACATTCTCCTGTCAATGCATTTGGTATTCTATTCATAAATGGGACAAAGTAGTCTGACTGTCGTTACTATTTGAAGCTGATTATGTCTTAGCATTTCTGTAGATCATTGATTTTTCTTATCGATACCAGAGAATGTTCTTTTATTAGCTCTGAAGAACAAAGTTTTCTTGATCATGTAAGTGGTCACTTTAGATTGAGCGGAGTACCTCGTACATGACTTTGCTTGAAATAATGGTGTTGTTTCGAGAAAAACCATCTATCAAAGCGTCAACACCAGTCTTTTTAATATTCGACAAACAAAGCTTTAGTCATCACCTACTCAAACTTGAACGAAGACTTCAGTTGTTATTTATTAATGATAGAAAAAGACGGAATAAGAAACGATGCACTAAATAGAAATAAAAGAAGCCACAATGAGCCAAAGAACAAGATGTTCTCTGATCACTAATATACTACTTAAAACTCACTGAAATATATTCAAAATTGGAAATTAAAATGATCGCAAAGACGATGCGGAAAAGCACTGTCAAAATATTTACCTTCAGAGTAATTTCTTTCTTAATGCTTAAAACCTTTATCAAACACTAGCCAACCGATTCTACAATTATTTCATGAATTAACCGATAGGTTATCCATCGACAACCACCAATATCGACTCGACTTCAAGTTCAAGTTCAAGTGCAATGACAACTACCGTCTCAGAAAAATAGCGAATCTTCGAGACTGCAACACACCGAACCGTAAAAGCGATCATTCAAGATCGGCAAATCGCCCAATCAAATCAAGGATTCCAATCCATCGAGTTCCCTGACAATCAACGTCCATTGTTATCAAATCGATAGACGTACAGTACAGCAAAGGTTACAACAATAATCAATCCAAACGAAATACTTTTGAAATTCATTGAAGTCAGTATGGAAATATAATTTTCAAATTATTGAATAGCTTTAACCACAAACAAAACTTTGTCTCCAAAGATGTAAAGCAAAATAGTTTTCGTTCTGTTTGCTTTGTTAAATTGTCCATGGAATGGTTGACATTGTACCCCGAACATGAATTCCTCCGCGATTACCAATTTCGACCGAACCAAAGCGCGATGCAAACACATCCGGCAATGGCCTATCCTCTGGTATTGATAGCCATAGACGTAAAAGATGACGTTTTTGTGCTGGATCATTCCAGTCATCAAAACCTGTACGATCATGTAAAAGAGCATGGTTGTATACGAACTGCATATCTCCTGGCTCAAGCTTCATTGATAGGCTAAGCTTTGGATCATTGGCGAGATGGTCAAACATATCGAGTGCCTCTACGTGCTTTGATGTGAGACGGGGTGCATCTTCAAACCGTTGTGCAGAATCGATATACTGACGTTGGTAAAAAACAGTCAGATAACCTTCGTACAAACTGAATACTGGAATCAACACATATGGCAACATGCCTTCTGGAACTTCGCCTCTGCGGTCAGTTGCTATTGGTAACATCAGAAGCTCAAGTAGATCAGGCCGCTGCGCGTACATTTCGTTGAAAATTGTTGAGGCGCTCACTAGCAAGGATGCTCCACCAACCTTCGCTGTTTTTAAGCATAAAAGGCCCACGACATCCGATGAATCTGTATGAAAAGTCTGACGTTCATTCGTTTGATAAAGGCGTACGTTCGGGTCACTGCTTTTCATACCTAAATCGCGAACATGACCAAGCATGTGGCCCATTGCATTTTGTGACCTTGGTAGCCCAAGATGGCAGCCAAGCCCATAAAACAGTGTACCTGCTTCACGCTCGTTGTATTTCTCTATTGGCAATCCGCGTAACAAGAAAAAGCCGCGACCACGAATTAGTTCTTGACGAAGAGCTAAAAGTTTAAGGCCTAAAGTCGGTAGAGAAAAATTTTCTGCTGTAATGGAAGCGATATCCTGCTTGGAAGTAATCATGGATTCAGTGGCTGCCTCCAACTCTGCTATTTCTATGGGAGTTAATTGCACAATCCATTCGTTTGTTCGGTACATCAAGTCGGAGCCATACCAAGTCGAAGCAAGATATTGTACAGGAGGTAGTAGGTATCGATCACAACTGTTCTTGGTATAGGAAAATTTGTCTGGTCCGTAAACCACCTTTTGTTGATTGCTAGCTTCCATTTTAAAATTCAACTAAGACAGAAAAAAAAAACTATTGAGTCCCTATTTCAAAAACAATTGATAACGTCAGCCACTTATCGCGAGAAACTGCATATTTAACGAAGAGTTTGTTGATAATGAATCAAATATGTGAGAACAGAATACGTATGCATTGGCCAAAAGCACCTCTGTATACGCTCCGCTTTTTTCTTTCATATCTAATATCAACACTTGCATTGTCATTTGTAGTGCAAGTCTTTACAGCAAACAGCTGAGATAACCAGTAAAGGTCTCTCGAACTTTATCAGTCTAACAACAAGCCTAACACCTCACAACGCACACATACGTGCATATACACTTATTAGGTTTATTCTCAAAAACCTATATGGCCTTCCAGTCTAGGAGAGGATAACATTTTTTCACCCATAAGTATACAAATGTTTCTCCACCGCTTTTTCTTTACGCTACTATTTGCCTGATAGAATTTAAACTTTCGTAAAGTAAGAATGGCTGTCGTATAATATTTCTCTTAGGAAACCGAAGAATAGAAGAACTTTTATAGTTTAATACATCCGCATGAATCTTACTTCCACTTGAAAAGAATTGAATGTATTGTATTAGAACCCATTAATAAACGCTCAGCACTCAAGACAGAGTGTCGACTTTGTCTTACTTCAAATCCAAAACTTTTTGCGTCGGATCTAAGGTGTTAGTCCCACAGTAGTAATCTCTCGATGCACAGCTTGAAAGTCATTCAAGAGTGGCATCATCGGAGATTTCTTTTTGATGACCTAAAAAGAGTCAACTCTTTGGGTGGAAAAGCCTACTCGGTGTCCGGCTTATCGTAAAAAATGAGGATGACGCATAGAACCATTTTTATGCTCGCTTAGATTCCACTCATTTGCGTCTGGTTAGAATCAGAGACAGTTCATGATCATATTTGACAGACTTATTTCTCGAAATCTGACATTGAGCTTTTTCGTTCTTGTGTTATTCACTCGTCAAGTCTCACGGGAATATTTGTTCTCTCGAAAATCATTTAATACCATATGCGCTAATAAACAAAAGAGTGCTGATTCCATATCTCACAACAAGAGCAAAGAAATCTGTATTCAACCACTTCAAGAGTAGGATGTGGATGTCGTTACTTGAGGCAGCTCTTCACTTCACCCACACAACCATAGCCATACTTCATATGAATATTTTAGTCCGGTAATATACTGATTTTTGCTTAGTAAATTTTATCAAATCTGCATTAGTAATTACTGCAATGTTCCTTGGAAGAAACATTCAACTTTTATAAGGGTTAATCTATTTGATAAATATCTAAACTATTAATTGTTCGTAGGATTAAATAATGTCGATCGATCGTAATTGCTAAATTACGTAGTTCTTTTTTATATTCAATACAAGTTAATTTATTAGTGCATTTATTATCAATAAAAGTTAATTCATTATTAAAATATTTACTAAGTAACCATCCAGTTTTTGATATTTGCCTATTGATAACTGATGTTAATGTCCAATAGAGATCATCAGCACCACTAAAATAAACTATTCTCAATGGTAACATATTGTAAATTGAAATAATAATAAGTCGACGTCGTCGTTGAATACCAACAGTTAAATTTTGATTTCTTTCAGCTATTAATAAACCTAAACATTCACCATTTTGATCATTTTCAATTGCACATATTGTATCAGTTCTATATAAACCTAATTGATCTAATGAAAAACATTTTTCTGTTGTCGAATTGTTTCGTTCCCATTCTGAAAGATTATAATAAACAAATCTTTGTTTTTTGGTTAAACTTAATAAATATACAAGCCATAAATCAGTTTGATAACATGTAAATAATTGTAATTGTTCATTAGATTGAAATATTTCTTTAATTGGTATTAATTCATATGAAAATAATGTTAAAAGTATAAATAATCGTGATGTCATTATTAAATATGAACGATGATACGATGACCAACGAATTTGTTTTATTGAATCATGTGTATTTGTATTCCATGATATTTTTTTAAGTTGACCATCAATATTATATAAAGTTAAATACTGACCACCATAGATAAGAAATGAATATTCTCCGGCACCTAATGTTGAATCATTTTCACATTCAAATGAATTAATCAATGATTTTTCATTAAGTAAATTAAAAAACGAATTATTTATTGACTTTGATATATCTCTAATAGTATGTCCAATGAAATTATTTGAATTAAAAGTTTTTATTATTTGTGGTGATATTTTATTAATTTGAAAAAACATTTTTTCAATATTACTTGATTTGATAAAATATAGCGCTGATGAATTAAGACTAAGTTCTTTGAAATTCTTACTATCATTTTTTATTAAATGATTTTTAAGCATAATAAAAAAATTAACTTTCGAATAATCATAATAAACTAAAACGCGCTACAAGTAATACTATCAAAAAATAATTTAATCGATGATAGTAATGTCCTACATCAAATTCCGAGAGTGATTGTGAAGGATTTTTTGTGGAGTTGGAGTCTAAAAGTTTTACTCTAGGGTAGGTATATATATATACCCCTGGAAAGCAAAAGCTGGAATTCGTATCTGGCTTCTTTTAACACTCGAAAATGACTCATTGTGGAAAGTAATTATGCCATTCAATAGCCCTCGGAATTCTCTATCAAAGTATGGCTTTTGATCATATCTGACTTTTATCTGGTGAAAAATTAATCGAGTGGAATGAAGGCACCCTCATGTCCAGATTCTCACAGACTTGATTTTGCCACTGTCATCAAAATTAGTTTTTTAAATTTTTTCGTCATTATAGAATTACATTTCTAAAAAAGCAATTATATATTCTGATAAAGCTTGAAATTCTCTATCACCCTGTATATTTAACTATTTTCTTGCATTCATTTATTGAAAAATAATTTGAGTACAGTGAACATACGCTCAATTGACAAGTACCAAGAAACCGCATATTTTTCACTACTTGAATCCAAGACAATACATTAATATACAGGGTGATAGAGAATTTCAAGTTTTATCAGAATATATAATTGCTTTTTTAAAAAGGTAATTTTATAGTGGTAAAAAATTTTAAAAACTAGTTGAGAAGACAAAGTCAAGTCTGTGGGAATCTGGACATGAGGGTGCCTCCATTCCACTCGATCAATTTTTCACCAGATAAAAGCAAGGTACAATCAAAATACACAGTTCGATAGAGAATTCCAAACGCTATCGAAAGGTATAATTTCTTTTCCCAATAAGTTCTTTTCAAGTGTCAAAAGAGGCCAAATACGAATTCCAGCTTTTGCTTTCCAGGGATATATATCATAGAAGCTGAGGATGAAAACTAAAATTAAGTATGTTACAATGGCAATACCATTTGATATTGATCTGTATTGGTATTGCATGGTATTTAGTATTAATTGGTGTTAGTATCGATATTATTCAATACCAATGTCTTCATATCATATTGATATTGAAACATGCCTAGATGAAATCTTGTAACTAGTTCCAATGCTCCTTTACTGTAAAAAAAAGAGTAGAGCAGTGACCCCTGATATTCGTTTATTACCATTTTCATAAACTCTTCTGGGCATATGATCGAGAGTAAACTCTTAGATGAAGTATCTATCATTGCACATTTTCAGCACAATTACCGAAAAATAACCTCTTCGCCTGAGTTGTGTGACAAGCTTCGAAGAAGGATATCTAAATAAGCGAATAGAGTCTGTACTAGCAGTTAATTATACAATACAAGTATAAACATATTAGAAGCTTTTTTTTTATGGACGTACGACATATATTAGATAAAAGCTATTAAAGATAAGAGAAGTTTTAAAAAAAGCATTTGTGGTCATGAAGTTTTTCTGCTTGAAATACGATAATGTTTAGTAAGTTTCTCAACAGAGCACCGTGCATGTCGTCAAATGACCTTTTTATACCATCCAATATCTTCAAATATTAATATTGAAAAGCATCCTTCTTGTTGTTTTATTTCAGAGTAGAATATAATAAAAAGCTTGATACTTTCTCTACGAAGCTAGTTCTAATGAAACCTTCTTATGTATAATGTTTGAATTTGAAAGTTCATGATATTAAACGCACACTTATAAAGTACTTTGTATTACAAGTAAAGTTTTATCGCAATATCCATTTACTAATCTTATCAAAATTTGTACATGACGAATATACGCTAATATAAATCTGTTACAAAAGCAATTTCCTATTCGGTTCTGTTAATGAAATACCAATCTTCTCTTGAATGACATCATGTTAATCACTATTTTAACTTTTCCAATCGAAAAAATAAATGTTTATACAGCATATAAGAATAATACATTAATTTTGTATTTTTAACATAATTTACTTTGTTTATTTAAATATTTCAGTCTTGTGAAAATGATCAATTAACAAGATATCTAAACACGAATCGTTTGATCTCAATTTTGCTTATAAATAAAGTACGATAAACTCTGATCGACGTTCATGCGAACAAGCTATATGGTCAACATAGATTTTTTTATTTAGTCAAAGATGTTTTAGCATTAGCAACAAATCTCTCAACGTTTGACTTCTTATTCAAGAGCTCAATGCTGCCTCTATTATCGAGAATAACTTTCATGTTAAACGATTTTAATTTTCCCTGATTTATGAAGTTATCTTTGAGTATTCTTAGCATTAAAGTTGATAGAATTTGTCAAAAAACAACTTGTATTTTCGATTATTGTCAATCATTTATCCTAAAATTTTCTTCATTCAGTTGCCGATAATGGAAATATCACTGTGCCTTAGGATCACAATCGATTCAAGTCTTCTATCAATCGCATCATAAAGATTTGTCTATAAAAAGATAGATATTAACGCTTCAAAATAACAGCAAACAAAAGAAATATAAAAAAAGCCTTTCTCAAAGTCCAAGGCTAACGACAGCGTGTTCTTTTTCTATATCAAGTACATTATGGCCGATTGACATTGGATTGATGCTTTCGATCATAGTGTACCAAACTCTATTTTTAATAAAACTATCAGGCAAAAACATTCAAATTTAACTGCTGATATACATTTAATCCTTTCGAAATAGAAAAAAAAAATATTCAATGGAATAGATTTTTAAAACATCAGATGATAAGATTCTTTTATTGAAAATTCAGACACAAGAACTACATGATTTCATGGTGCTCATTAAACTATAACTAATGTCTGATATTTAAAATGAATATTACGATGTATAAATATATTTAGTATACGTTGAATTCTACAGGCGAGGTTTTAAAGAAAAAAAAACGAACTAAACATTTCGACTAGTGAGCAGTGTATAGTTCAATGAAGATAACTGGATTTTATTTTTTTGCTTTGCCTTGATTAGCAACTTCTTCAATAGCTTTTTGAACAACATCATCAGGTGCAACATAATAATGTTTAATTGGATTTAAATCTTCATCAAGTTCATAAACCAAAGGAATACCTTAAAAAAATAAAAATAAAAATTTAATTCTTATGATTTTCTTCGTTGTTTTATTACCTGTTGGTAAATTAAGTTGAACGATTTCATTATCAGATACTTTATCAAGATATTTAATCAACGCCCGAAGTGAATTTCCATGTGCAGCAACAAGTACTTTTTGCTTATGACAGAAAAGATGTAGTCTTTGACACACGCGCATACTGATAAATATTTACCTTCATTTCGTGTGGTTGTTTTACGCACCAACAAACGCGTAGAGTGATCCTTTAGAAGAAAACAGACTCTGGTGCTCTAAAGATTTTCAATTGTTCCAAAGTGCGCTATTGAAGTGAACAAGAGAAAATATGAATCATAAGTATCAATAGAAGGAGAATAAGTTCATTAAGGGCAGGACATAGGGCAAAGAAGAAAACACGAAAAATCACTATGATAATTGTACTATTTTTTCTTATTATTTTGCTCGTAGACGTAACACTCGGAAGTGCTTACGTGATAATAGAAAAAAAGTGTAAGATATATAAGGCAGAAGCAACATTTTGAATGCGAAACGTTGCAGGATTCTCTGTTATTGTTAATGCTACGATTTAAATGAATTTAGCACGCTTAGAAGGTCATTATGGGGATAAATAAAAAAAAAGAAATATAGAAGAGAAAAAGAAAACAAATCAACAAAAAAAAGAACGGATAGAAAAAAAAGAAGAGAATGAAAAGGGATCACTGAAGAAAGAAAAAAGAAAATACAAGGCTTAAGTAGAAGCAGAAAAAATGGAAAAAGCAAAATATTATTCTTTTGCTTCTTATTTGCATTACTTCGCTTCCACAAAGCATATCCATTTTAACAGAAATGACTCGTGTCGATCTAACAATAGTCGCACACATCGCATACGAAAAAATTGATCGATGTGATCGTTTTTTCTCTCGTAGAAATCATTCCGGGCGAATACATCGTTAAAGAATAGTGAAGATCTAAGATCTGTCAGATGCATTCTTCTCAATCTTCTTTGAATATATTTTTAACATAAAAACCTAAGGGGAGCTCAGCAGTAGTGATAAAAAGATAGTGCGCGGATGAGTGTGGGTGTAGATGAGAAAATGGCACCCACATCCACCACAACCACACCCCACACCCACACCCCACACCCACAACCACACCCCACACCCACACCCACACCCCACACCCACAACCACCACACTCACACCCACACCCACCCACACCAACCCACACCCACACCAAAACGCGTTAAAAATTTTAATGAAAATAAAATTGCAAAGATGTGCGGTTTTTACGCCTTTTTACGCGTTATTTTTCGTTGCTTGTCTGATTGGATACATACCCCCAAAAAGAAAGAAAAAAGATGAACATGAGAATGGGTTGTAAACGTAAGTAGAGATGATATTCATGCACATGCACATCTCACCCACACCCACCGCACCCTACAAAACATGTGCATGTTGTTTTTACTACGATGAAGAAATGTTTAACGCATAGCACATCTATTCATATCATGCCTTTGGTTTTGCTTTTCTTTCTATTTTAACGGAAGATAAAATCTGCAATGATTCATTTAAAATAACGACGATGAAATGTGTTTTGTGTTACATGTCTTTTTTCCTTCTTTCGAAAAAAAAGTTAATATTGGCGAGAAAAAAAACATCCACTCAACTTCTTAGATGCCAGCGGATCTGCACCCTAATTATTTAATAATAATATGCAGCAAGACGGTTTATCGATTCCACTGTGAGAATTCAATAATGAAATTCTTAGATGGGTTCCAAAACAATATGATCAACATCATCAAAAAAGAAATTGGCAGAAAGGTTGTGGGGTGTGAGTATGGGTGTGGGGTGTGGGTATGGGTGTGTGGAGCAGGTGTAAGGTGTGGGTATGGGTGCGCGAAGCACGTGTCGGCGTTGCTGTTGAAGATGATAGGATGACAGCCACAGCCACATCCACCCACATCCACCCACAGTCACACGCATTCACAGCCACAGCGACATCCACCCACAGTCTCACCCATTCACAGCTACAGCGACATCCACCCACAGACACACCTATTCACAGCCACAGCCACATCCACCCACAGTCACACCCATTCACAGCCACAGCCACACTCACCCACATGCACACCGTTATCGAAAATTTATATAAGAAAAAATTAAAGTCAACACTACGAATCTTTTTGAATTCGCTCTCTATGCTTTCGTGCGATTGCTTTCAAATTCTACCGTAGAAATCGGCGTTACACACACAAAACACCAAAATAATTAAAAAGAAGCAGAAGAAAATCTAAAAAAGTGAAAGAAAAGTGAAAAGCAATAATTTTTTGTTAAAAATTTATGTACAGGAATAAACGCAACGTTTGAAAAGCTCTGATGTAATTGCAGAGTGTGGGTGCGGAGTGTGTGGGTGTGGATGTAAGTGAAGAGAATATATATCCGACATTCACTCACACCCACAACCCACACCAACAACCCACCCACACCTACACTCACAATCACACCTACACCCACACCCACATCCAATATGCGCTTCAGATGACCCCGTATTACGGCCGTGTAATTGCATAATCGTATGCGTACAAATACCAGGATTAGGGTAGCCTAAGCAGATCACACCTGACTTCAAGCTAGCTTATGGGTATCATCGGTAGACTCTCTATAGGATGACCGATACAAAGTAGCGAATGTCCCAGACAGAATGGACACTCAGTATTTTTAGTGATATCTCTATTGATTGTGTGTGGCTGTGAGTGTAAGAATAAGCAGAATATTCACAGGCATACATCTACCCACATCCCACCAAACTCAATTGAACGAAATGGAAAGCTGGGTACACCAACAATCGAATGATGTTGATAGGCTTCTGACTACAGAGCACAATCAATTACTATAGACGAAATCGAACACCTACGACAAATAGATAGAATCATAGAAGTGAAACAAGAACTACTCCAGCAAAAACACTTAAATAATAAATGGGATTAGTAAAAAGTATAACAATTTCAGAGGATTCTTATTTCGCCACTACGTGATGTGGTATGCCGGTGGACCTAGGAGGAGAAAGAACTGGTAACCACTGAAAACTTGAAAGAAAAATTATCGAGAACCCGATGGAGATCACAGATAATAACCCCATCGACTAGGAAGACACGTCGGACTTCCACAAAGTACCTGCTGAAAATTAAACGACGGTCAACGATTCAGGGTGACAACTACTATACCCACGATTTTGAATGCGAATTAGAAAAATATTATCATCTTAAACTGAAATGCGTGTTTTACTAACAAATAAACTTGCAACAAATCTTCACCATTTTTTCACAGGAATTTCCATAGACATAACGTAGAACGAGTTGCAAAAAGCTACCATAGGGTCATATCAATAGCAATCTAGAGACAGAAATCCAGAATATTAAACTAATAACAATTCAGTTCATAATAATACCTATCAATAGTATAACTTTTCCATAAAATGAAAAGCTTACACAAGAATGACAGTGAAAGCTGGTTACTAAATCAATCCAGAAACTTAATTCCTTAAGAATGTTCTAGCAAGCCCACATTACAAATCACATAACTTTGCTTGGTACGACAACTCAATAGAATAAGAGCAGAAAAAGAGCATGAAAATCCAACCATGAACATTATCCAAGAAAATTTATACAAATGCCAACACCATTGACACAGAACCAACCACAGAGTGACTCTCAACTGATAGGGCTATGTTTCCTCTATTCTAACATTCCTTTATAATATTCGTTTCATAAGACGCCTACCTTTCTACATACTTCTAATTATTTCGAAATTACAGAAATTTATTATGCTTTAATTACTTCGAAAGCTTGATTCTTCTTAAAAACTTGAAGATTTGAATCAAGTAAGCAAGTGATTCTGTCATTTCATAAGATTTTTCAACACAAGTGAAAGTACCAGGTATTCTTAGTAGATTTACACAGACACTCAGACCTTTAAGTTTTCTAAAATAACTCAATATATCATAGTTTCTACGAATGTCTGCTGCACTGATTCAAACCCTACTGGAGCCTTCAATGTTCTTCGAAGGAACTGATAAACACTCAGGAACACATGATGAGTTTTTTTATTCGAATTCAGTAATGATCGTGCTTGAAATAACATTCAAACTATGAGTTTAGGTTTCTTTGTCGTGTGTATGCCACATAAAGAACTAGAAGAAATTTCATATTTTTGTTCACTGAAAAGCTGAAATGATAAGATAAATAGAAAGTAAGATTTTTTTAAGACAAAAAGATGAGTCGGATTGCGTTCGTGGTTGGTGGTCTCTTGGTAGAAAAATGCCTTTATCAGCTACTTTCAGGGAGTCATAGTGATTTTTCGAAGTAACCACATAACAGAGCCGAACTCATCGATTATTTAACGATGTTAGAATATGTTTTTATTCTGTCAAACAATTGAGATGATGCAATTACATTATGCTTACATGAGTATGTTAGCACGTTTTTTAGTTTGCTTCTTTTTCCTTGTTTTTTCAATGCAGACGTATATGCATGCGACATGTATTGATGCATCAATGTACAGCAGGAGTCAATTGAAATTCCCCCTTTGTTTTTGTTACTATATTTCTTTTCTTTTTTAATCCACTATATGTAGTGAGAATGTCCAGAATGCACTGCATTTTTTTGTATATTTAGATTGAACATTAGATGCAGTTTAGTGTGTGAAAAATTCATTAGAAGTACAAATGAGGGTGTGGGTGTGGGTGTGCGGAGATGAATGTGGGTGTATATGGAAAAAGGGAAGAAAAACACCTACACCCACATCCACACTCCACACCCACACCCAACCCACACCCTTTGTTAATGATTTATTGCAAATAGTTTAATTGATATTTATCGAAAATAACACTTTTTAGGTGCGTGAATGCGAATGTATTCAAATAAAAAATATCTCGAACTAATTCATCTTTAGTATTCTGAAGACTTGTAAAAGAGAAATAATCAAATGTCAGATTGAATTCGATTCTATCGGATTGATTCTGAATAGGAATGAATTGTATTCTAGGTGAATCTTGTTCCTAAGAGAACCATGATGAATAATATTTTTGTTGAGATATAATTATGAAAAAATGTTTGTTTTTTTTTATTTCGATTTCATACGATGACACTGATTAATGAATTTTTGAATTGAATTGAAAGAATTTCAAGAGCAGGTACCTATTCT